ACTATAAATCGATGTATTTAGATAATTATTTACACATTCTAGAATTCTATGAATAGTATGAACACAGATCTAGGATATGTTCTTTCAACTGGTGTCCACCAGGCTTAAGTTTATAGAGTTCAAAATCATGCACTGAGGGTATTTTACCCCTGTACAATAGATGAATATGCCAATTGTACTTATATTTATATCTATAGGTTACCATGTGTTAACCACCTTCCTCACTTGTGAATTTTTGCACATACTACAATGCACCTCCCCCTCTGTAAACATATGCCCCTAAACAATAAAATATGTAGCATCCTCCTAGGTAGCTAGGGTTAGCTAGACTCCAATGGTTAGACAGGGTCTTAGTAGCAGCCCAGGTATAATAGCCAGAAAAATTGTCAAGTTTGTGGTCAGGGCTGAGAGGCTCTGCAGGCCAGCCTCTTTGGAATTTCCTCCTGCCCTGGAGCTTTGGAGGGAGGCTCTAGAGGCAGTGGGTGGATCTGAGGAGTGGCCGGCTAAATTACTGAGGGACCCCAGCCAATCCACAACATAAAGCTTGGCAAGGGGCTGGGGCACCCTTAAAAGTGTTGGAGCTTGTTCAGTAGCAGGAGAGATTTGGTGGAAGATGGAGAAGTGAGGCTGAGGTTCAGGAGCCTGGGGGGGAGCCCAGGGTGGAAGAGGCTCACCTCCAGGCAGAGGGATCTTGAAAGGAAGAAAGCTGAAGAGTTTACTGACCTCTGAGAGAGGACCACCAGGAGGAAGGGAAGGATTGGCCCAGCTGATAGACTTGGTAGCAGCCACCTACCCAACAGCAGCACAGGAGAAGGACTCAGTAAGTACTCCTACACCCCCTGGGCCAAAAAGGGGAGAGAGCATTTGGGTGGGGAACCTGACTAGCTCTACACCCGGGATTGTTACATTCAAGTAGCAGCTTGGACTCCCTTGCTCAGGGATTCCTCTAGACAAGCTGGATAAAGAAGAGGATTTATCTGGGGTCTGGGGTGGTACATTAGGAGAGGCTGGAGAGCTCTCCTTGAAGAGAATTTCTGTGATTTTTGTGTAAAGACTTGTAATATAATTCATAAAGTTATGTCTTCTGTTACCATTACCCTTGGGCATCCCATGCACCCGTTACCCTATCCAAGCTCTACATCCCCAATAAAACTTCAAAACAAAGCTCAAGGACTGCTTTTCTGTCTCCTGAAGCAAGTCTGAATGGAAAATGTGTGATGGCTGTCTGTGCAGGACTATGGGGGGACCCAAAACTCAGCAACTCCTAAGGGGGTAGTGCTACAAATATAACATCTCCTATGTAATAAATGCAACATACAATAAATGCAATAAATACATGTGCTATAAATGTCCTTAACAAAGTTTTTATTCATGCAGTCCATATAAGGTGCTTATTAAATTTAAGTGCTGTATTCCTCCGTATGTGTAACACACGTGCTCCCCTCCTTGAGCCGCACTCACTGGAGTTCCAGAACCCCTTTGTTATAAGGGAGTCACATGCGCTCTAATCACCGTCATTTGTATCCTCCTTTGGTGTATAATCAGCCAATACCGGTCTCTTCCTTTCTCCTCCAGTCCACCAATATGTACTGAGGGAACCAGAGAGCAAGCTCTAAATAGTGTTATATTGTTTACTAAAATTTCACAAACATACAGAAATGCACCTACAATAAAAACAAGCAATAGCGCTTAATCTAGTGGATCCGGAACACTCTTGCTTTCCACAGGCCAGAAGTGAGGCACTGGAAGTGATGAAAAAGGTTCAGCATAAGTTCATCAGCGTGATGTCATCAGGACATCGCTTGTGTTAGTACATTGATCTCTTTCGTTTTTTTTTTCACTCAAAACTAAAAAAAAAAACTTCTAGTGTGTACCCAGCATTAGTCTTCTCTTATTTTACACCAGGAAGGCTATCTCTATTCTAGCACTGTATGACTGTTTGTGAAATTACTCTACTGTACTGTAATTGGTAATATTGGCTTCACCCCTGAGAGGGCACTTTAGCTACTTTTTATTTTTTGTTAACCAATCACAAGGAGGGGGTGAGACTAACAGAAAGTTTTAAATCCTTGGAGATCAGGATTCATACATTCATAATGCTGAAAGCTTATTTTTTTATACATGATACATTTTTGTGACAAATTAAATTTAACTTCTCCTTTCTGACAAACGTATCATAGTTCTATGTTGTATCCATAAAAGACCCTAGGAACATTCTTTGTGGCAATAAAAAATCTTTACATTCTGTTTGTTGCTGTAGGAGTCTTTTTGCAGTTGTGTACAATCATTTACATTAGCCCACAGAATGTTTGACAGGGCACAATAGTTTGTCTGTATGAACTGGCTTCCTCCTACGTGTTCCGTCTGAAGAGACATCCTTTGGCTTGCTTCTTTTGTAGCATCACTCATATATATATTTAGAGAAAAGCCTAAGGCATGGATTTAAGAAGTATGTCTGTTTAAAAACCTATAAATTAAAAAAAAAAAAACAAATGAAAATATGACCTATATCCATTATAATTTAAGCCTATAGAGTCAGGTGAGCTGAGTAATGTGCCTCCTGGCAGTTGGATAGCACCGACATGGTCAACCTTTTCTATGTCTTTCTCTAGTTTTTCGTACAAAATCTTTCAGCAGCAGGATCATTTTCTGACATTTGACCTCTCTTTATTGCTTATTGCAGGAATTTGTCAGAAAGGTGGTGTTGCAGATATTATTTTAAATGTTCCATACACAATGAAAAGAGATGCAGCGAGCCTCTTGCAAAAAGTATATTTAAGTATGAAACATTTACCTAAGATCACAACCACATCTGAAAATTATAATTTATTTATTTTAGTAATATCTTAAAGTGTATCTGTACTGAAAAAACACAATTTGCTGTTGTAAAAGGTACTAGCCTTCTTAGTGCTAACTCGCATTTCCAGGAAGGATGGAGCGAGGCCTTCTAGGCTTTCTGGCTGCAAGGATCAGTAGTCAAAGATGAAGTATGGCTTCAGGTAGTAATACTCACTGATAGGGTGGGAGACGTAATATATAAATCAATTATTATAGGAAGTGATGTGAATTATAATAAAGGGATGTGGGTAGAAACCAATTGTACTAATACTTAGAAAACTTCTTGCCAGCTAAAAACACTATTTGAAGGTTTATCTACCTAGTCTGTTTCCTTAAAAGATCATTTTGATTATGCAAGGCTGTTTTTTGCCACTCTGAATACCCACAGACATAAAGATCTGATTGCTGACCAATTATCCTAGATTGTAAGCTCTAAGGAGTAGGGCCCTCTGTTTCCTCTTGCACCAAATTGTAACTGTAATGTCTACCTTCATTTTGTAATGCGCTGCACAAACTGTTGGCGTTATATAAATCCTGTATAATAATAATAATTATGTTTGTACACATGCAAACATCACTGATGATGCCCTTAGAGCAAACAAAAGCAAGACCCTGAAAATCAGTTCTGCCTGACTAATTGCTCTTCCAAGATCTGTTAGTTTTGGAGTCATCTGCAATGGTTGAGGGTTGCCCTTAGACATAAGACTGTTTCTAGATCTAAATGTTGGATTGTGCTATAATTGTGATATGTATATGAGTAGCCTGATATTGATATGTTCTGCAATTGGAAATCTAGAAAAGAAGAATCTCTTGTCTTCCTCCTCTGTTATTCAATATTAAATTCAGGAGACGATAATAAACATATAGGCAATCACAGAAATCTGTATCTATGCCAAAATAATGATTTTTACTCTACATATTGTGTTCTGTCTCTCCAATCTAAGCATTGAAAGTGTGATCTCTGTAACTTACAGTTGTGATGAGATAGCGATAACTCCAATCTTAGTTGAATAACACAGGCAGTGACTTGATCGGATGACACCTTGTAGATCTTGTGAAGTTTATTCCATAAACTGAGAGAATCTTACAACAATGAACATCTGATAAGTCAAAAGATCATAATGTGATCTGCTTCATAACATGAGGCTAGAAGGTGAAATGCCTTACTGAGAAAAGGGGTGGGCTATCTATACAGCAAGAACTAAACACAAAGGAAAGGGAGCAGCAGAGACAAAATACAAAGAACACTTAAAGGCATATGACAGTCATGTGAAACATGACATATTGTTTTATTTTTGTAGGGCGAAAAGATTAAAAGCAGTGAGACATAGCAAATATATGATATAAGTAAGTATAGCCTACAACCGGTAGGTCTATTATCCCTGATTAACCACTTGCCTACCAGGCACTTATACCCCCTTCCTTACCAGGCCAATTTTCAGCTTTCAGCGCTGCCGCACTTTGATTGACAATTGCGCGGTCATGCAACATTGTACCCATATGAAATTTTGATCATTTTTTTCTCACAAATAGAGCTTTCTTTTGGTGGTATTTAATCGCCACTGGGCGCTTTACTTTTTGCGCTATAAATTAAAAAAAGTGCAGAAAATTAGAAAAAAAAAAAAAAGTTTATTTGTTTCTTTTATAAAAATTTTTCAAACAGGTATTTTTTCTCCTTCACTGATTTGCGTTGATGAGGCGGCACTGATGGGCACTGATAGGCGGCACTGATGGGCACTGATAGGCAGCACTAAAAGGGCACTGATAGGCAGTAGTAATGAGGTGGCACGGATAGGCGGCACTGATAGACAGCACTAATTAGGGGTCACGGATAGGCGGCACTGATATGTAGCACTGATAGGCGGCACTGATAGGTGACACTGATGATGGGTACTGATAGACGGCACTGACTGGCATCACTTCTGGGCACTGACTGGCGGCACTGACTGGCACAACCCCTGGGCACTGACTGGTGGCACTGACTGGCAGCACTGCTGGGCTGCACTGGTGGGTGGCACTGGTGGGCAGCACTGGTGGGTGGGCACAGGTGGGTGGCACTGGTGGGCACAGGTGGGTGGCACTGGTGGGTGGGCACAGGTGGGTGGCACTGCTGGGCACATGTAGGTGGCACTTCTGGGCACAGGTAGGTGGCACTGCAGAGTGGCACAGGTGGGGGCACTGCTGGGCACAGGTGGGGGCACTGCTGGGCACAGGTGGGGGCACTGCTGGGAACGGGTGGGCGGGGCTAGTGGGCGCACTGCTGGACGGAACTTGCGGGTGTCACTGCTGGGCACCGATCATCAGGGCACTGATCATCAGTGCCCTGATGATCGGTGCCGATCCCCGCTCTGACAACTGCCGGTTCTCGGCAGTACTTTCCTCACGATCTGACAGCGTGAGGAAAGTGCAGCCGAGAACCGGCACTTGCATTTCCCTGTGATCAGCGTGTCATTGGACACCGCTGATCACGTGGTAAAAGGCCGGTGGGATCGGCCTTTCACCACATCACGTGATCAGCTGTGTCCGTAGGACACAGCGATCACGGAGATCGCCGGGTGCGCGCCCCCTGGGGCGCGCAGGAGAGCGCGTTCTGGGAGGACGTCATATGACGTCCACTCAGAACTGGCCGGCCGCGGTGAAGCCGTCATTCGACTATGCGCGGTCGGCAAGAAGTTAAACTGTCCTGCTACTAGTCAATTTCACACTGCTTTTTCCTGTGCAGTATCTTAATTCTTGCAGTACAGCCCCAATCTGTGCTTTGCGTCTCTAGTAAATTTGGGCCTAGCTTTGAGCATTACAATTGTTCTGCTGATGGCCAAATTTACACCCTATTCCTGTAGTAAAACACTTGACTGTTTTCTTTTACATTTTGGACAATTAGCCCTCATTAAAATTGTCCTGCTGCTGCCAACTGCTGTATCATGTGCAGTCTCTTAATTCCTAAAGAAACTGACTAGCAGCTGGACAGTTTTGCATTAGCGAACATAGGGATAGCCACATGGTGTACTGTTCAATTTCTGTGTGCCTGTCAAAGCAGGTCTATTAGTGTCTAAGGAAAAAGCAGGTGTGACTGAACCAGGGGCGGACTGACAACTCATGGGGCCCCCGGGCAATAGGGGATCATAAGTCCCCTGTGTCCTTGCCCAAACTCAAAAAAGCCTATGACAAAGGTACCAGGGGCATCTCATGGGGCCCCCTACTGACCCCGGGCCCTCGGGCAGTGCCCGAGTTTCCAAATGGTCAGTCTGCCCCTGGACTGAACCCAAAACAAATCATATTGGAATGTTGCTGCTGTATGTAAGTCAGAGAAAATGCACTGCAAGTGTACATTGTCGCCGAGACTGCCTTTGAAAATTGTACTGTTCCTTAACACCATTTACAGCTTTAATGCATCCCCAGGCATAATATTTAACCACATGACAACCGGGCTATAGCCGAATGACTGCTACAGCGTAGTTGTCCAGTTCTGCCCCCAGCAGCGAGTACCCGGCGCTGTCTGCCCTATGGACACAGCTGATCCCATGACAAGGTAAAAGGCCGATCACAGTGTCCTTTTACCACGTGATCAGCTGTGTCCAATGAAACAGCTGATCACAAAGTAAACACAGTTGCCAGTTATCTGCAGCACTTTCCTCACAAAAGTACTGCCAATAACCGACAAGTGTCAAAGAGGACACCTGCACTGATCAGTGAATCAGGGCACTGATTATCAGTGCAGCCCCAGAAGTGCCCAGCAGTGGCACCCATCAGTGCTACTCAGCAGTGCCACCCATCAGTGTGCAGCAGTGCCGCCCAGCAGTGCCACTAGTCAGTGCTGTCAGTCAGTGCTGTCAGTCAGTGCCACCAGTCAGTGCCCATCAGTGCTGGGCAGGTAGGGGGTAAAAGTGTCCGGTAGGCAAGTGGTTAACTACTTCCCACCTGGCCTATAGTAAAATGACGAGCCTGTTGTCCCTCCAGTAGGGCGTCATATGACAGCAGTGGCGAGATCTGGCACCGGCAGTGTACCTCGGACACGGCCAATGACAGATCTGTGTACCGAACCATTGCCAGTACAATGTGAGCTGCTGTTACCAATCACAGCAAGTCACATGACAGTTGTATACAATGGATGGCTTCCTTTCATGCGATCCATTTTATACAAGTGTGTCTAGCTGTGATTGATAACAGTGATCACATGCACAGGCTGGGCCAGTCACAGCCCATCTGTGTCATGTGATTAGCCATGGCCAATCACAGCTAATCACAACAAAAAAACCTAAATGAATCCATTTAATTTAGTTAAATGCTTGCTTATAGCAAAGAAATTCTTTGCTATAAGCAATCAAATTGTGTAAGAAAAAAAAAAATACTGATCAGTTCCCCAAAGTAGTACAATGTTACTATGGTAACATTATACTACTTTGGTCATAGTGCAATATGAAAAAACAATCTTAAAAAAAGAAAAAAATTAAGAAATTAAAAAAATTATTTTCACAAATTTATTTTTTTGTACTGTCACCAGTCAGTGTCCCTGATCACCGCCACACCAATTATATGATGATTCTGTACTGCACTGGTGACAGTATGTAAAAAAAAACAGTGAACATATTTTTTTTAATTTCTTCATTTTCCGGAAAATTATGACAACAAAATTACAACTTCAAAAAACTTGCCATGCCTCTTACAAAATGCATTGGACTGTCTACTTTGCAAAAAGGGGTCATTTGGGGGATATCTGTACTGTTCTGACATTTTTGGGTCTCAAGAAATTAGATTGGCTGTCAGTACTTAAGGATTGATTAATTTTCAGATACTGTATATCCCATAGTTTGTGAACTCTATAACTTTCCTACAGACTAAATAATAAATACTGATTTGGGCTATTTTCACCAAAGAAATGTAGCAGAATACAGTTTGGTCTAAATTTATAAAGAACAATTATTTATTTGCAAACTTTTATAACAGAAACAAAGAAATGTTTTTTTTTTTTCAAAATGTTCGGTCTTTTTTAGTTAATTTAGCAAACAATAAAAACCCCAGTGGTGATTAAATACCACCAAAAGAAAGCTCTAGTTACGTGAACAAAATGATAAAATTTTAATTTAGGTACAGTGTTGCATGACCGCGCAATTGTCATTCAAAGTGTGAGAGCGATGAAACCTGAAAATTGGCCTGGGTAGGAAGGGGGTAAAAGTCCCTGGTATTGAAGTGGATAAACGATCTGTGTATTTTCAGTGTTGCCCTCAGACTCCTGATCATATTCTCTCCCTGCTGAATGGCATTATTTTTACATGTTGTTTTTTTTTTTGGTACATGTCCCCTATGGCAGTGCGAAGTTTCCGATGTCTTTTTTAAAGTAGTTTTTATTAGCCATAAAAATGGGCATTATTTAACACCGATATTCATCCCCCAATGACTCTTTCAAGGTAAATCTTTCTAACATGATTTGCACAACCCATGGTGAACTGGACTCATGTAGATTTGCCCATCACTATTAATAAGCTCCCCTTCTTGCTAAGTTATGCCTGCACACAGTAAATGAGTCATGGATCATTCACTGTACTGTCACAAGTCAGGAGACAGGGTATGTGCTGCTGCTTCATTTCTTCCCACAATAAGGAGGAATTACAATCCATACATGACCCCTGTTGTGTTTATTCAGAGCTCAGGTAAATTATTATGACTTATTTAAAATATATTCCATGGCAAGCCATAGAGCCATTTTACCGGGTGCTTCATCTGTTCCTCAGATTGTCATTTGTACTCCTTGTTCTGCTGTAAATTTAGACTTCAGATTTACACGTGCTAATTAAAATAACAGCTACATTTGATACTGAGATTCTGTCAACATTTACAGGCAGTCACTTGTTCACAATTATTTTTTCTAAAGTAAAAATAGACTTATTGAAATACAGGCTTGGAAATCAAAATTGTAAGCAGAGCTAAACAACAATGAAAAATGAACAAATGATGCATTAACATTAGTTATATAAAAAATAAATACTGTATATCACTGGCTCAGTAAGATTGTGTACATATTATATGTGCTATTAATACATAATCATTTTCCCAAAATGAGAAATTTACCAAACTAGGAAGTTTGCTTAGCAAAACCTCTTTAAATGTCCACTTCTCTTAACTGTTTGGTGTTCCAATATCCTCTCTTCCTTTGTACAGTTGTGACCAAAATTATTCAACCCCCAATGCTGTAAAGGGGTTTAGGGACTATAGTGTACATTTGGAATTGTATTCAGAATCAAATCCTACAAGGACGTTGTAACTACCCAAATGCAACTAAAATGACATCAATTGTTTATGTAATACAGTAGTAAATGGTTCTTATGTGGTTTCTTCATTGCCACAATTATTCAACCCCTTAAAGACTACCACTCTGAAGAACAGAGGTTCATACAGGTGCTTTCATCAGGTATTGAAAACACCTGTGGATGTCACCGAGCAGCAATCAAGCATAATAAGCACCAATTAGGCAGCTTTAAAATGACTGTGATACTCAGCTCCTTCTAGACATTTACTGGTGTGGTTACAAACATGGTGAAGGCAAGAGAATGGTCCAGGAAGACAAGAGAAGAGGTGATTTCTCTTCACAGGAAGGGCAATGGCTATAAGAAGATTGCAAAGATGTTAAACATACCAAGAGACACCTTAGGAAGCATCATTCGCAAATTCAAGGCAAAGGGCACTGTTGAAACGCTACCTGGTCGTGGCAGAAAGAAGATGCTGACTTCGACTGCTGTGCGCTACCTGAAGCGTAGAGTGGAGAGAAGTCCCCGTGTGACTGCTGAGGAACTGAAAAGATTTGTCAGATGTGGGTACAGAAGTTTCAGCCCAGACAATAAGACGCACACTGCGTAATGAAGGCCTCCGTGCCAGAACTCCCAGGCGTACCCCCTTGCTGTCTCCAAAGAATAAGAAGAGTCGACTGCAGTATGCCAAAAGCCATGTGGACAAACCACAAAAGTTGTGGGATAGTGTTCTGTGGACTGATGAAACAAAATTAGAACTGTTTGGGCCCATGGATCAACGCTATGTTTGGAGGAGGAAGAACAAGGCCTATGATGAAAAGAACACCTTGCCTACTGTGAAGCATGGTGGAGGGTCAATCATGCTTTGGGGCTGTTTTGCTTCTGCAGGTACAGGGAAGCTTCAGCGTGTGCAAGGTACCATGAATTCTCTTCAGTACCAGGAGATATTGGATGGAAACGTGATGCAGTCCGTCACACACCTGAGGCTTGGGAGACGTTGGACCTTTCAACAGGACAATGATCCCAAGCATACCTCCAAGTCCACTAGAGCATGGTTGCAGAGGAAAGGCTGGAACATTTTGGAGTGGCCATCGCAGTCACCAGACTTAAATCCGATTGAGAACCTCTGGTGGGACTTAAAGAAAGCAGTTGCAGTGCGCAAGCCTAAGAATGTGACTGAACTGGAGGCCTTTGCCCATGAAGAATGGGCGAAGATACCCGTAGATCGCTGCAAGACACTTGTGTCAAGCTATGCTTCACGTTTAAAAGCTGTTATAACTGTAAAAGGATGCTGTACTAAGTACTAAGATTGAATGTCACTTGGGGGTTGAATAAAACTGATAATGCTGTGAGCACAGAAAAGACATTTGTGGTTATTTCATTATAACTGTTATGTTATATTTGTCTGACCTACAAGTGCCTCTTTAATGTAAATGTAAGCAAGATGACTGAATGATCAAAAGCAATGTCAAACTGGCCAAAACACTCAATTTCAGTGGGGGTTGAATAATTTTGGTCACAACTGTATATCCCTTTAATTAAATAATAATAGCCGTTTGTTGATTATTTGTTCTTACTTATCCTTATGTGAGATTGAGCTCTGCAGTCAATTTTGCAGCAGTCGTTTTTTCTTGTTCCAGGTCACAATACTGCGCAACAACCTTTTGTCTCTTTTGGACAGTTGACCATGTTGACCATGCTTATGCTCATCATTTTTCCCGGAAACTATATAGGCCTCATATTGTACCTCATGACACAGCAAATAAATTGGCAACTTCAGTCACAGAGGCACCAGTTAAGCGGGCACCAACCATCTGCCCTCTTTGAAGCTCAGTAAGCTCTGACATGGCTCCGTATTACTATCAGAACATGCAGTGAATGACGAAAGTGAGACTTCAGAATCCATAAACCAACATATAATTTAGCAGAATAAATGTATGATTTGTTGGATATCAAATATGTGTATTTCTCCTAGGAGGTTTAATGTTTCCCTACTAGTATTCTGGAACTTGTAATTATGCCATGTTTGGTATCTAACATGTAATGTAACTACCTTTTAGGAAGGTAACATAAGGAATTATGGAATCTGTATAAATGTTTGCTCTGGGAGTTCAGTCATAGGTAAATACACTATTTTGGGACACCCCTCCAAATCATTGGATTCAGTCACCTCCATGGCCATAGGTGTGTAAAACCAAGCACTAGGCATGCAGACTGCTTCTTCAAACAGTTGAGAAAGAATAGGTTCCTCTCAGGAGCTCAGTGAATTCAAGCCTGGTACCGTGATAGGTTGCCACCTGTGCAATAAGTCCATCTGTGAAATTTCCTTGCTAAATATTCTACAGTCAACTGTTAGTGGTATTATAACAAAGTGGAAGCAACTGGGAACAACACCAACTTAGCCATGAAGTGGTAGGCCACATAAAATTACAGAGTGGTGTCAATGCATACTGAAGTGCACAGTGCGTAGAAGTCACCAACTGTCTTCAGAGTCAATAGCTAAAGACCTCCAAACTTCATGTGGCCATTTTGGACAGTTTCATGCTCCCAACTTTGTGGGAACAGT